CAACAGTACAGTCCATTAGTTTACAATGTCCGTGCTATTATTACTTTCTAATGATGTTACTTTACGAGTAGCGCAAGTAGAAGAACTCTAGAATACTTTCCTAAAGGAACAAGAGAAGTTTCTACTTTACAGCATATTAAAATGACCTTCAACGAAGCACGTTTTCTGGAACCGAACATCAGCTTTAATTAAAAGAGAAAAAAGTCAACAAAAAGTCTTTAAAAGAAAACCAGTGAGTGGGAATTTGGCTATTTTTGGCATTTGTTATTCATTTTGTTCTTAAATTATTTAGTTTTATGCATTTATGAATACTGCAGGCAATGAATAGTGTTTGTTACTAAAAGCACTGGATAATTATATGTTGATTCAAATGCAATGCTGTAAGAAAAAGTGTTTTGTTAATTATTCTGAAATACATTTGACAATAGTGGTTGACATTTTTTTTTGTATTAAAACAAGGCCATGAGGTCTAGTTTATGTTAACACAAACCATCTACCACTATGGTTAACATGTGTTTCATACTTTATTTCTTCTTTCTATGGGAACTCTTGGGCCTCATATTTAATGAATGCTTTCGAAGACGCTTCGACACTGCTCTTATTCCTTTAATAGCCTACTTTAAAACATCATTCACCTATATTAGCATATGAACTAGGTTTTATCACCTTATTCTTTGCACATCTACCTGAATCAGTGATGTGTTAAAGGTCCCATGTCATGCTTTTCCGGTTATTACCCATCCCCTTGTGTGTTGTGTAGCTTTTTATAAATGTAAACGGTCTGCAAGTCACAAACCCTCAAAGTACACCATGTAGCGAGTACAACTCTAAAAGACCTGTATGCTGCCCCAGAACGCCTTGTTGGAGATTTTTCTTTTTCCATTTTTTTCTTCCTGGTCATAGTGACAGCCTGGCTGTGAGTGGGTGTCTCGCTGTCTCGCAGACCCCACGCAGCAACCAGGAAACAACACCAGTAATTCAGCTCACACTGTCCGCTCCTCGTGCCTCAAAGGGCGGAGCAGCGAGCCCGGCAACGTCCCGCCAACATGGCACCCAGACCCCACGCAGCATTCTCATCTGTTTGTCATTACTGGTGTCATTTCCTGGTTGCTAACAAATGCCATTGTAACACATAATCACTGATGTTCCGCTGTAACAGTGGTGGACTCATCAGAACAGAGTGGGCGAGCTGACCAATCAGAGCACACTGGGCTCATAGGGAGGGGGGGCAGGACAGAGAGTGAATACACATACTATACAGAGATGCTGTATGAGAAACCAATGTGAGTTTGGAACATTGAACAATGTAAATCTATTCTAGTAGACCTCAACAATGGAATTATGATCAGTAGAAACGGATTCACTAACAAATCACTTTTACACAAAAATACACTTGGCTTTTCTGACTTAACGCAGCCTATACTCATTGAATGTCAGTGTCTCAGACAGATGAAGTTATACAATTTGTTTTTTACTTTTGGCATAATCAGCTAGTGTGAACTTTTTTTGGATTTCATCAGAAAATAAATGTGGACTGGTTGCAGGAGAATATAACACCTATAACATGATTAAAGGACTTCAAGGTGCTTCAAAGGGTTCCCTCCTAACTGAGAACCTCAAGGCAATGAAAACAGCAAGAAGATCACAAACTGTATTTTCAAACGAGCTTGCATCATCGCCTCGATAACCCAAAGTCCTCAGGTATGGAAGACAATCCCCGTCCAAGCCTTATTAAGAGCTGATCCTCCTTTTATTAAAGGCTTCTTTACGGGGATTTCTCTGTGGCTCAGCCGTGTGAACTGACTGATACGCTCCGCTGCAGACGACCTGCAGACCCCTCCGGATCTCGCTCCAATTAGAGGCTGGGGAGACTGAGACGCCCTGCAGGTTGTGAGCTTTTCCCTGCTGAGTGAAAGGTAAGGAGGATGTGGTGACAAGAGCTCGCTGAGGCGCAAAGAGAAAAGGTGCCACGTTATCTTTTCCACTGACAGCTTAAAACGTTTAAAGAATACATTTCGTTTTTTCTTGAAATGTAATTCTTTATCATTTGCTTTGAGAAACGGTGTAATGATACCATAAAAATCCTAGTTTGCTGTAGCTTTCAGGATTTTAACTGTGAGTTTAACCATTGTTACCATCTGATTGACTGTTTATTTTTTTTACTGACCCAGGGACCAAAACACCAAACATTGGAGTTAGAACCAAATAATTCAAAATGGGGCTCAAATAACAGCATAAAGACGAATACAATAAATAGATAAGATAAATAATATACACATGTAAATAAACTGTCTGCAGATTAAACAAAACAAATCATCTTAGTTTCCACCACAATGGATTGCTCTTCTTTGGATGATAACGACGTCAAATGTCTACTCATTGGAAAATATTATCCACAGCATAGTCAAAACAATCAGAAACAAAGGTTAACATCTGCTTCACTGATTCCTTTACTTTTCAGAGAGTTGGCTGGCTGTTATAGTTTAATCGATCTTGAAGGGCAAACTGCTTTGTGATATTTCTAATGGTCACATACTACCAGTGTTGCTTGATGCAGAACCAATAACCAATATGCTTTACTTCCACTTTATGCCTTGACAAGACTGAACTGCTTTTTCTTCCTGGAAAAGATTGTCACACTCTTGACCTAACAATCAACATCGGCCCCTCTGTTGTTTCCCCGACTCAGACGGCAAGGAATCTGGGTGTGACCCTAGATAACACCCATACAGTAACCCTAGATAGATCATTCGGTCTATATGCTGTAAAATGTATTATCTCTTCGATTTACACACGGCATCTATTGCACGTCTGTCCGTCCTGGGAGAGGGATCCCTCCTCTGTTGCTCTCCCTGAGGTTTCTCCCATTTTTTTCCCCCTTAAACTGTGGGTTTTTCTCTGGAAGTTTTTCCTTGTACGATGTGAGGGTCTAAGGATAGAGGGTGTCGTTTTTCTCATACTGATATTCTGTACAATCTGTGCTGTTGTATTTGCTGTAAAGTGTCTCTACTGTAGGCTATTTTTATTATATGTACAGCACTTTTGCTCGACCACAAATCATTTATAAATGTGCTATATAAATAAAACTTGATTTGATTTGATTTGATTACAAACTGTCCTTCACTGCAAACATCGCTAGTGCAACCCGTTGCTGCAGATACACGCTTTATAACATCAGGAAGATACGTCCCCAGCTGACCCAGAAAGCGACGCAGGTTCTGGTCCAGGCTCTCGTCATCTCACGCCTAGACTACTGCAACTCCCTCCTGGCTGGTCTACCTGCATGTGCCATCCGACCTCTGCAGCTCACCCAGAATGCAGCGGCTCGCCTGGTCTTCAACCTTCCTAAATGTTCACACACCACTCCGCTCCTCCGCTCCCTTCACTGGCTTCCGGTAACTGCTAGAATCCACTTCAAGACACTGGTACTTGCGTACCATGCTGCGAATGGATCTGGCCCTTCCTACATCCAGGACATGGTTAAACCGTACACCCCAGCACGTGCACTCCGCTCTGCATCAGCCAAACAGCTCGCTGCACCCGCACTGCGAAGGGGACCCAAGTTCCCATCAGCAAAAACACGTGGGTTTGCTATCCTGGCTCCAAAATGGTGGAATGAGCTCCCCATTGACATCAGGACAGCAGATAGCTTGCACATCTTCTGGCGCAGACTAAAAACTAATCTCTTTCGACTCCACTTCGAGCAATACAATTACTAACTAAGCACGTATATACTAATAAAGGACTGGCTTACCTAAAGCCAGTTGAGTAGCACTTGAAATGTTTTGGCTCTATGAAACCTGATGTACTTATATGATTCTGTTTTCTACTAGTTTGTATCTTCTTGGTCGAACGCACTTATTGTAAGTCGCTTTGGATAAAAGCGTCAGCTAAATGCAATGTAATGTCTTTAGTTCAAATGTATCAGCCTTGCAACAAAACTCACCTTTATATTTCCTGCTTGTTGTTCTTGTACAACAAATCCAGAAAACCAAAGCAAATATTTGTGAGCTTATGAGAATTTCTTAACAAAAGCTGCTAATTATTCTCATCCTCCATTTTCGATAGACTGGTAATAATAATACTGGTAGAGTATATAGTGTAAAAAGATCATTACCATAAATCAGTGGTTCCCAAACTTTTTCAGTTGGGACCCCCTTGGGTATTGGAAATATTTTCGGGACCCCCCAACCCGGTTCCCATCTATATTGGTAGGATTAATTGTATATTGTTGTAAAAACATTACATTTTCTTTGCTAATAATAAGAAGATACAAAGATCCAACTATCATTTTATATTTTATTATGGATTACACATGAACAAAAGTGAAAAATAGATTTAAGGAAAATATATGAATGAACACTGAACTACTATTTCTACTGCAGGTTGCAAACGATCACATCACTATACAATTCCTATTCCACACATAGCCTATCAATGGCAAGATCGTTCCCCTCCTCCTCCAAGAAGATTCTGATCTCATCTTTAAGCGCCAGCTCCCTGGATAGCACTTTTCCGTGAGAGAGCCATCGGGACCGATCGGGACTCGCTGTGAAAAAGAACAGCTGTGTACTCGGAGCCCATCCCCTCGCACAATGCAGAGAAAAGGCGAGCTTTCAGTGGTCTTGTTTTGATGTAATGAAGGTGGTTATAACATCGGACAAAACGACATTAAGCTCCGGACTCAGCTGCTCTGACGGCCGTGTTAAAAACTTCTCCATTTTGTAGATTTATTTTCGAGCAGTGTTTGTTTACAATTTCTTCCCGAGCCCCCCCTGCAGTACCTCCGCGACCCACCAGGGGTCGCGCCCCACAGTTTGAAAACCACTGCCAAAAGACAATTAAAATCAGCTTTTTCCAATGATTCCACATAACATAAAGACAATATTTCCCTGTTTAGTTTCACCCAGTCTTGTGAACAAATCCTTCTCAGATTGGTCAAAAGTAGAAAACCTCATGAACTTTTAGCCTTTTGAGCCTAGAGGCCATGAGATACTCACCAAACATGTTGCCAATGTGCCCGTTTTTGGTCAAAGGCCGCAGCTCATTCTTCCCCCAGGCGTAGCGCTTGTAGTTGTCCCAGGCAAACTTCATCATCTGCAACATAAACAGAGCAGACAAACTGGTCAGAGGACTGAAAGCCAAACCACACAGCTCCAAACCCAGACATAATTCAATTGTTGTACTGTAGCTCAGAGCCAAACAGAACGATAGCTTCTTGATCAGACAGGATTAAGGGCATTCATGCAATAAACACACATAATGCGCACTGCTATACAATATGATTGACATTTCCCTGCAGCTACTTCTCCTAAATTAAAGATTGAATGATGTCAGTAGATGAAAAGCCAGACATTGATGCCCTTTAACTCCACTGAAAAATATATGTGGATTTGGTGAGATGTGAAAAAGAGAACTGTCTTTTTTCGCATTAAAACAGAGCCAGCAAGACAGGGATTTGAACGATGAAGAGACAGGAAGTGTAATCTTTTCAGCTGAAATCACAAAGTTGAGTCGTGATGCTTCTCTGCCTTTAGCGACAGCGTAAACAATTTGTTAAGAAGCTTGTGACGGAAAGTTGGTTTGTAATAATCTAATACATTCAAAGATATTTAAAAACAAATATGAGAGCATAATAATACTGACAATGCCGGTGTAGAGCTCACACAGGTTCAGAAAACAAACTCTAGTGATAGCTCCCAGGTTATTGAAGTATATCTGACAAAGCAACAATTAATTTAAACAGATATCTCGGTGAGGCATTGCCAAGGAGATATCACAAATCAGAATAACGGCCCGTCCACACAGCGGCGTGCGTTGAAGCTTCCAACGCTTCTGCCCATTCACTTTGAATGGGGTGACGTCACTTTTAGCCGAACTGCATTTTGGGAAGCGACGTGGAGCGTTGCTGGCGTTGCTCGCTTCAAAAGTTGAGCAATGTTCAACTTTTGGCGCCTCGGCAGAAGCGTCAGCCAATGAAATCCCGTTTATGCAAATCTGCCAGTACAAGTGCTAGCCAATCAAACCGTGTGTATGCTGGGAGAGACTACGCAGGTCATTTCCTCATATTCCAAAAAATGGAGGGAAGATTCATTATAGCGATAGTGAATCACCCGGTGCTGTATGATCAGTCTCTGTTCATCTACCGGGATACAAACCGGAGGAGCGAGGCATGGAGGGAGGTGGCAGAGACAGTGGGTGAAACTGGTAGGTTTTCGCCTGTTTGAGGATTTTATATCCAGTTTACTTCGTTTTAACATTGCTATTGCTTTGTATGTCGGGGGCGGGAGATTCATGTGATTGGTTGTTGGTCGCGTTGCTCGCAAAAAATCCCCAAGCTTCAGATACGCCCACCTCCAAGCGTCAACGCACGCCGCTGTGTGGACGGGCCGTAAGCAATACAGAGAATTGGGCCAGCTACCCACCCGTGTTTCCCCGGTGTAATGACTTCTATGCTTATTTAGCATATTGGCATGCTAACATTTGCTAATTAGTACTTATTTGAGTTCAACAAAGGCACATGTATGCCATTGAAGGCAGGTATTTGGGCCTCAAACAAAATGTAACCTGATGATGACGCTAGCTTAAACAACAAGGGTTCATCAAGCTAGATAATCAGCCATTGCAGCCACCCTGAAGTGGGGCATAACATGATGTACCAATAGTCATGGACATTCATTAAGAATGAGACATTATTAGGAAAAGTTGGAGGTTTGTCAAAGTTAGCATGTCCAGCAATATATGTACTAGTTGAGATGTTCGGAGTGATCGACTCATTGATTACTGTGATAAGGTATGGATTAGTGTGACATCTAGATAAAAATACTTCTTTTTTTTCAATGAAGGACATCAAACAACACCATCACCTTCTCTGATAAAGACACACTTTTAAGTTCTTTGTGAATCTTGTTTGCATTGATATCTCACATGTATGTCAATAAAACAGTAGTTATGTAAGGCTGTTTCCTCATGATTCAGCTTCTATTATGAATTTGCCAGCAAAAAATATGGGTTTTCTTTCAAGGAAATTAGAGAAAATGTTCTCCAAAGAGATGCCATTTTACATGTGCATACGAACAAAGAATATATAGCATTGAATACATTGAAAACTATTTCCAGCTGCAGGTATGCAAGTATACTTGACTCAAGTGCTTTCAACTGTTATGACATGTTCATGAAACTCAATTGTCTTTTTGCATGATCAAACGAACTTGAAGAGAAAATCCCTTCAAGCAATCTGTCGCAAGATGTTGAACAGATGTTGAGAGAGGTGTTTGATTTGGATTTTCACAGCACGACAACATCATCTCTAATATCGAATACAATACGGGACACCTGGCTCTCCAGAGGTGAGCTTGTACAGGCCTGTGAGAAATGGACGACATGAATTCGATGACCTCTGACAAACCCACCAACTCAAAATCCTGTCACCCAAAAAAGCTCAGAGAATACAGCGATCAAGCCGTTTCTCAAACTAAAACAACCCACAGTGTTCAGGAACCCAAAACAGCGACTACTGGTCAGGGAGCTGGGATTTGATTATAGGTTAATGATATACCATTCAACTTCTTTGGAGGCAAGTGTACCAGTTAAGTTTGGGATTTGTGCCACACATTAAAGCACAACTGGAACACATTCATAGATCAGAAGGAATAACACATCAGGGTCATCTTTGTTGTTTTCTTGTTGTTTTCGTCGATGGCATTACATCTGAGAAAGCAGCATTTTAAAGAGTACTTTCTCCATCTACAAAAACAAATACTAATAATGTATGTAGGAGCGATATTATACATATGGAGCAAAAACAAGCAGACTGTATGATTAAAGCAAATAGCACCAAGGAATCTTATGTTCACAAAAAGGTAATCATTTTCTTCAAAGTGATGGAAGAGCAGAAATACCCGGCGCTAGTAAGATTGTGCCCCGACATAATGTTCTGCCTCTGAGTATGTAATACAGCAAAATGTCTTAAGTTTTATTTCCAAGTGACTCCATCTTTTATAATGTCAGATTGCCTCGTTCCTCTGGAAGCTTTACAAGTAAACGGAGAAAGGTGTTTTAACAAAATGCTGGCTTTGGTAAATGTTAGAACTCCGTGTCCCTAAATGTTTATTTGAGGGAAGTTCAGACTGTACGTTTTAGAGTTTTCGCTGACGATCAAAAGGCATAATGGAGTCTGTGAGAGAAGCAGGACTTTACGACCACTATCAACTGTTGGGGAAAGTATAAAACAGGCAGATGGGATGCTCAAACTGCATGACTGAAGGCATAGAAAATGTAAGATGGCAGCATTAATCATCAATGACGGGACTCTAAAAGGAGCTAAAAGAAAGCAGCTGGCATTGAGTGGATTTGATGGAAATTCTCACGGTCTTATAGATGATTGATCAAAAACAATAAGCAACAGATCAATCAGTAGTGAGAAAATAAACCCTGGATTGCCTCATAACTTGTCACAAAGTATATTCTGATGGAGGGATCACAAGATCTTGCATTAAGAAGTTTTATTCTGTCACAAACGAGCTGAGAACCAAAATGCAACACACGGAAACCAGGGATAGTCGGTAACCAGCTTTATTAAAGGCAATAGGCTGGTAGGAGACAAAACGGCAGATAGTAGGCAAAGGGCTGGTCGGGGACAGGCGAGGGTTACAGGAGAAAGCAAGACGGGAGTCGCAGGTACAGAACGGGTCAGGGACAGGCAGGGTCGAAACCGGGAGAGCAATCTGGAGGATAATGCGGGAAAGACTGGCATGCTGCAAAGTACGATCTGGCACTGAGGTGAAAGTGAAGTGGGCCTAAATACTAATGGAGCTGATGGGTGTAACAGAGTGAGAGAGAGAGACAGGGTGTGACTACCAGGTGACTAAGGAATGTTAATGCAGAAAATAGGTGAGTGAGAAAGCAGACTGTGACATATTCATTCAAAACATTCAACACAGAACGCAATTTCATACCTTTTCATGAGAAAACCGGACAAATGATGAATGGATGATCATTGATTTTGATTTTATTAGCTCAGGGTTATTTTTCATTACTTATTACTTACAAAATGATATACAAATTAGAGCGACCTGGGCCAGGCTAAGAAGCATATCATTATATGGGCTAATCAACTGAAAATGATTAATTCAGTGTATTTCCTTTAATTAAACTCACATCAGTATGGATGACTCCATTGTATGGCTTGGGGATTTTGCGCACACACTGAAGCAACGAGATAAACAAATGTTCCGTGGATTATGAACCTTTACTTGGGTACAAGGCAATCACTATGTAAATGTGACAATAGTGTTCAGCCAGGGTAAAAAAAACAATTACATCTTAAAAAAAAAACACCCTTAGTATTAAAAAACAAACTCTGTTAAAAGGTTTTGGTTACTGAATTAAAATATTTAAAATATTCCAAATACCAGCACAGACAAAAGCTTTGTTTCATGCAAAAATGTGAGCAAGTTGAAAGCCACAATCCACAAGAATATTTAGCTGCGACTGCAGAAGTTTCATTCCACTGGAGGGAAACAGATATCAGGCATTGTGTTTTCACATCCCTGCTGTTGTGCGCTGCGGAGAGTCAACGTGTGGGAGGACCAGGGTCACACAGCCGTAGGATTTCTGATGTAACAACCCATCATCACAGCACACGCCGCTGTGATCAATAACTGCTGCAACCATGACCCAGCACGCCACCCACAACGCTGCTTCTCCAAGAGAGCTAACACATGAATGATTCTCTTCCACGGGCACAACAAGCAGACAGGGACACACAGTGACTGTTCTCTGGATTAACTAATTGGCTAGTTGTTGGGCAGAGGAGATCAATAACCAAACACAGAGCCAGTGATTTAAATTAATCAGGGATTGACCAGGGGTACAACACCATAGCGTAGATCAGACGTCCTGTGCTGCTAATCAAGTGATCAAGGATGGTTCCAGAACATCAACCAGATCATAAGGTTGCATAAGGGATTTCATGTACGCTGCATTAACTCAAAAGCCCTTATTAAAATCTGTAAGGAACACGTGTAATAGAAAATCTTCAAACTGTAGTAATATTCACTTTCCTTCTCCACTTTAAAGAAAATTAACTATTTCTC